AATTTAAATTGGAAATATCGATTTGTTGCATCTGAGATTCATCAGATAACGATATTTCTGACATGTTTAAATCTTAATTTAATAATCACACTAGTATATCTCAAAAAAACCGATCAGTTAACACCGAGCGTACTTTTTTTAGGACATCCAAACATGGACAAAACGAAACTAACGACAACGTTATCCCACCTAAGACTTTAAAATTCTACCAACTGGCAGCACTTACCACGTAAAACACAACTGCCATCTGACCAACGGATAAGTATTTTCTATATCAACAAATAATATTAAGAATAATATTATAAAATTAATTTCTTTCTTTTTTTTTGATATATCAACGTATCATACTAATTAAAATGAATACTAGTTCGTAATTATTTAAATGAATGTTATATATTTTTATGAATTATCAGTGTCTACTTTTGTCGATAATGTCGGTTACACATATGATTCATCGATAAGGAACTTCTCTAAGGTTCCAAAATAAATAACATAATAAAGAAAAATCTTCACGGTCATATTTAATAACAAAAGAATCGACTCGTCGCGCTAAACTCCTGAGATATACGTAACAGTACGAACTCGTACTTACTCGTATAAACAGCTTTCTTATCGATCTCTTCAAGATCGTTTTATATCTTTAAAAGTATTTAGTCTCAAAACTTATAATTTTAATTAATTATTTATATAATTAATATTAAAATCTCTTTTAGAATTATTAGTTAGTTTATCTTATTAAAAATAACGTGTAATATTATCTCTTCTCTATCAACGGTAGTAGAAATCTATTTGATCGATAGAACGTTTGTAGCTTTCTATAAAATAGTTTGAAATAGCGCTTTTTTTACATAGGATAGGGACGAATGAGAAAATGTATTTGTATAATTATATCACATTATTAATTTATTTTATTTTATACGCATCTTTGCTTACATACTCCGATATCTAAACATATCAATTAAATCTAAATTTGCATATAATTGCGTACCGAGCTAAAAATAAAAAAAATTTTCTCTAGTTTATTCATTTATCTATGCCATGGTGGTGATTATCGAGTTTTTTCTTTTATATTCACATTAATTTTTATTAGATTTGCCTACATGAAATGAAGCATTTATAATTGCGTACGACAAATATTTTTCTTCTTTTTTTCTTTTTCTTCAGATGAACATTGGCTTGAAGATATTCCAAGGACATCCAAATGTAGACATGCTTGCGGACAGTAAAGAAGGATCTTCAATGACGGAAACAATTAATTATTATGCGCTCTTAATTTAAAACGTATGTCAATATTTGTAGACAGATGTTCAATCGACGAATATGATTATAATAACTTTAACAATTTTTTTTTTACAGGACGATCATTCGATTCTTAGAGCGCAAAGTTGTTTTATTGTACTTTCACGTCGTCCGTAATTACGTGGATTTTTTAAATAAACAATAATTTCCTCTGACAATAAGTTTCATTGATTTTTATAGGTTCTCATCGATTAACTACATCGCATCGGATACTAAATATTTATTTTCACAATCAAGCAACAGATCTTATATTTATGTGACATTTTGTCATTAATACATATACATTTCTTTCTAATTTTTTCATATATATATATATATTTATATATTATATCGGAGGACATTACGTTTGCCATAAATGTTCTGATTTTTACACACGTGACCCTTCAAGGTTATTTTATACACGTGCACAGCTCTATTTGCGTATTAACGATAGAATTTTACTATTTATAGTTAAAGAAATTAAGCGCGAAATAAAACATAAAAATACGAAGTAGTGCTCTATGTAAAAAAAACATGTCGATTATATTAATAACCTTTAAGGGTCAGTGAAGTAGAGATTGTCAAGCGAGAGCACGCGCAAACGGTATTGTCTAGAATTTAATGATAATGTGTTTCCTTTGTTGATCCCACGTATTAATCAGGAGAATTTAGAAAATTACAACGTAGTTGTTGTAATCATATTTTGTTTCTGTACTTTCTTTTCTTTTTCTTTTTATTTTTTTTTTATTTTTTTTTTTTTTATTTTTTTTTTTTTAACGAGCTAATAATTTTCCTTGTAAATGTTCCTAAGTTCACAAACAGTTTTCAAATTTATAGTAGCATCGACTGTCCCTTTAAATCATTAAATCTCAAGTAAAATACAATAGAAACGATTTTCTATACACTTTATACCGTAAAATTTCATTTTTTGAATTTATCATAATAGGTATCTTTCGAGCAGCTAACTCATTAATTAAGTTATACTTTAGTTCATTAGCATGGAAACAAGTTTCCGTATCGTTAGGCCAAATTGGAAAATGAATTAACGATGTTTATCGCCACTTAGATATGCGCCGTGGAACGATCAATGTTCTTGCTCTCGATTTTTTTTTTTTTTTTATTAATTCTCCATCCTCTTTATTTTGAAGAAATATTAATAATGAGTCATTTATAAAGAAATAATATCTTTCGCCGTATGAATCGAAATACATATTTAACCGTTCTTTGATATGCGATCAGAATTGCCTTAGAGTCGAAATCGACTTATAGCTCTTTGTCTTCCTTATTATGTATCTTGTCTTGAGGTAGAGAACATTTGTTTCAAGATGAATGAGAAGTGTGAATGCGAGATGGAGCATTTCTTAAGCGAAGAATAGAAACATGTTGAATCTTCTAAGATATCCCAGTCACAATTTCTAATATTGAGTATGTGCCATGTTTTTTCACGGTTAACAGCGCATCTTCTTTTCTTTTCTTTTTTTCTTCATTTTCTTTTTTACAATAAATACCTAATTTATCTGCTTTATATGTAAAAAAAGCATCATCGTAATTAATAATACGACGTACGTAAACTCGAGTTTCTCAAGAATTTAAATATTATACATAGGCTTTTATGTGATGTATTATTTCGTGTGAATCGTCCTTAGGACAATCTTAAAATCATACTATTATAGCTATTATTTATTCTCTACATATTGCCCCGATATCGATAACACTACGTAGTACATACAGATTTTTTTTTTCTATACAAGTACTAATTACATCGCATAACGTCGAAATAACGTTATATCCCCTGTGATTTATCTTTGTACAAGAAGCGATAATTTTATTCGATATTTCATAAAGTAGAATTAGGTATCGAATGAGAAACGGAAGATAAGGAAGCGATTTTTTATGAGGTATTTTCGATACAGCTATTTAAGTCACGATACAATGATATTTCTTTTGGCTTAAAGTGACGTCTATCGAGAAAATGTGTATTAGATTCTTTTGAGAATAATCGCAAAGAAGAAATGATTTTTGAGATTGGCAGTGAATTTTGGAAGTTGTCCAAAGTGCCAAAAATTTGTTAGTGCATTCCACTCGGTATGAATATAACAATTTAACGATAATTATTTGCTTCTCCGATACTTAATGTATTTGAATACATTAAGTACAATAAAGTGTGAATCATACATACACACAGATATATATATATATATATACACATACACATATACATGCATACGCACATCCATTTATTCATTCAATTGTGCATCCATGAATCCACGTATCTGTAAATTTACCGATCTGTGCTTATTTTGCGCTTATTATGCTTATAGCGCATACCGCGCATCCACGCATCCACACATTTGTGATTGCGTTCACATTTGTATTCTTGTTTAATTAAATATCGATGCGTAACAGTATATAAGCTTTATCGACACATACCGTATTATTAGTTTTTCTTGAACTTCATAGAATTTTGGAAGTATTTATACAAGCAGTTACACATATAACAACGTAGCTTATCTTAGCATTTAATTTTCGGAAGGAGATCACTTTAGTCATTAATATTTGAATTCTAAAAATTAAAAATTAAAAATTTACAAAGGAAAAAGGAAGAAAAGAATTATAAACTGATTAAGCATAACTTTTTTTCAATTCTTCCCATGTTGAATAAATCAATTTTATATATTTTGTAAAAATAAAAATGATCGATCATTTTGAAGCTCATAGAATAAGACAGAAAAGGAAAAAAAGAAATTTAAAAAAGCAACAAAAGCGGTGCTAATGATTGCATAAATAGCATAATTATCGATCGCATCGAAGTACGAACGATCGCTCGTCCCGAGTAAAATATTATATTCGAGAAAGGTCAGAGAAAAAGGCCTACGCATTGATAGGCCACCCCAGGGCAGTGTGTATCTGGATCCAATATGGTTCCACGATAAAATTCTCGAACATCCGATATTTTCTCGAAATAAGCAGTTCTAACTCAGTTCGTTGCTCGTAAAAAAGAGTCGCGTGTCATCGAGAGATTTTAACAGTTTTCTTTTTTTTTTTTTTTTTTTACTTCCTCTGCTAATAAATGCGTGCAGCCATTGAATAATATTTTTCATTTTTAAATTTTAGATTTGAAGTCTGATCGGTCAAGATAGATTGTACGCATAGAACGTCACTAAAGTCCATATAATATTCTATAATAATTATCTCAAGCATTTTTTCACTTTTTGTCTTTCATGTGGCGAACGAAGCATCGTTCGATATATATATATATATATATATATATATATATATATATATATTTTTTTTTTTTCTTGTTAATTAAGCTTATTAAATATACATTAAAGAGACTCGTTAAATATAATCTATCATCTAATGTGTAGCATTTTCACCTCGAGATTTTCCACCGTTCTAATTAGGATATCGATCTTATTTTCAGAAATGGATAGGTCGCGTTAAAAAATGTATTTAAGAATGAAAAAGTCAATTGATTTGCTTCGCAGAATAGGTTCGCGTTTAAAGTACTTTCTCTTCTCAGAATATTTAATCTCACGACAAAGGGAACATCGCAAATATATTGACGTTCTTCTGTACAGTCTTCATTGAGAAATAATTGTAATTATGTAGCTATACCTTTCGTTCCGTTCGGTTGTGCCTTTAAAGCACATCGTCGTTTTTTAACAGCAAAGTTGATGTTTTCGAGCTTACGCTGAATGCCCACCGACGTTTTAATTAATTATTATCTTTAATTGATATGAGACACGATAATTACTTCTCTAAAAACTACGTTACTTGATACGATTTCAGCATGTTTTTCTATTTTTTTTTTTTTTGTAACACAAATTTTAACAAGTATTCACACATATACAATATGTACATCTGAATATAGATGTCGAACAATGTCAACAAAAAGTGTTTTCTTCTATATACACGAAGCTCATAGTACATAGATTTCTTTTTCACGAGTCGCCGCTTGACTAGATTATTGTCCGCTTTCACCGCAATTACGATACGTGGGAATATTTCGATACGCGTTATGGAAGGCCTTAGAGTCGAATTTTTATTTAATTTTTATCTTTTTTTTTTGTTTTTATAGCATTTACCATACACTCAAACAAAAGTAGGTACGACGTACTACTTTACCTATTCGACGCGATTCCTTATTTACGTCATGTGTAGATCACCCTTAAGTATTCTCGTAAAGGTTTTCTTAAATTGTTGATTGGCCAGGGCATAGCAGAAGGGATTCATTGGACTGTTTGCATAGCAAAGGAAATAGGAGAACATGAAGAGATGTTCATTCGTACATGGAGGATTCGTACAAAAGCCTTCGACGAGAGCCAGAATGTGATAAGGGGTCCAACAGGCAACAAAAGCTCCAAGAATAAAAGATATCGTTCTGAAGGCTTTGCGTGCTCTGTTTTCAGTCCTTGACTTTTGTCGTCCCATTGTCGGATTTCTCTGAGTTTTGGCTTTTAATCGTTTGCCGATGGTTTTGACGAAGTCTCTTCTAGAGCCGCTTTCTTCCTCATTTTCGGTTTCCCTCTTTTTTGATTGTTTCTTAGACTCTTGTCCGTCTGTACCAGAAATTGTTGGCACCATACTACTCGATGATGAATTTTGCGGTGGATTATTATTGATCTTGGTGACTTGATCAGAGTATCTTTCAGTCGCTTGATCAGAAAATCTCTCGGTCGTACTATTGGATGTTTCAACAATTTTTGCATTACCGATAACAGTTGTGACTGGTTGACGTTTAGTGTCTTCAGCCTTTACGGTTACTTCGGTATGCACCTTGCTCACTGTAGGAGATGTTTGAGATGCAGCGTTTGTTTGTTGGGTAATAAAGACACGTGGTGGATGCGTTTGACTCGAGGCATTCGACATAGCCGGTTGCTGTTGTTGACCCTGTTTGTTCAATGGAGCCATTTGATTTGCGCCAGCTTGTTGAGTTGCTCTGAGGAGCGCGGCTTGTAACAAGCTAGTCGTAGTCGCCGTAGAAGTAGCATTACAGAGAATAGGCGATGATGGTGCCGTCGAAAGAGGATTTGCTAAACTGCACGAGAAAGAGGAAGGTGGGCTTTCGTAGGAAGGACTTGGGAGAATAACCGAACTCTCGTCCATGTACCTCAAGTCGGCTCCGTCGAGGCCAGTTAGAATGTCGAAGGTACCTTGACCATGACTGGGAACGACCAAAGACTTTGGTCTGTCACCGGACGATGAGGTTGAAGGACTTCCTGTTATCGGTGGACTGCTTTGAAACTGCGTGGGTGGAGGTATGATATTTTGTTGAGAACTATTCAGTGAAAGTTGTCGGCTTTGAACGAGCGGTGTTGTTTCTTCGTTCGACGTGGTCACCTGTTTACTACTGTAAACATCGATAGATTTTAATGATTGTTCTGGGGTTAAAGTTTGACTACTCGATTTGTCTGGCTCGACAGGATTATCGGTGTCTAGAAGACTGAGCTCCTGTATTTTCGGCAGTGTTTGGCCTTTTTGAGTCATCGTGCTAGATTCACAGATCGGACTCGTTGTCGGTAAGCTTTTCTTCGTGGTTGGTACGCTTGTTTCGATCTTAACGGGTACGATGCCGTTTAATCGACCGTTGGTCGCGAACACTTGAAGCGCCCCAGATTGGACAACCAGGCCGGCAAGAGATGAACGCTTCTTGATGTTACTCAGTTGTTGAGACGGCCCAACGGTACTTTCTTCGTCGGAGTCGAAGGCCGGGCTGCTAGAGCGTTCAGATTTTTCAGTTTCCGTAGGCATTGTACTGGCATATGTGATCTTGTCCGCAGCATCTTCTGTTCCACCAGATCCCGAAACTTTAGACGACTTTTGTCCGCTATCGGCACCAATCGTATTATCTTCTTGACCACCCGACAAGCTTACTCTTGGTTTATCTTGACTCAACAAGGTACTTTGAGTCTTTGACATACCTATACCGGCTGCACGACCAGCCATTCCGGACATGGCACCGGCACTTAACGCTACCATCGATTGCATTTTCCTCTGCTTCATTTCGCTCTTCTTTTGCATGTCGTAGGCGGTTTTATAAATTCCTCCGTAGAGAATGAAGAGAACTATCAGCGTCGTCCAATAATAACCGATTATAAGCGCGGTATTGAACACTGGATCTTTGAGGAACTGCACCGCGCACTGTCCTGGATTAAGGTCCCTATAACCGATGAAGTGTTCCCAACCGAATATACTGATGAAGAAGAGAAGTGCCGGTATGATCCAAGTAATAGTCACCATCCAAATGACACGATTTTTTGTACGCCAGCTACGATATTGCGCAGCGATTTTCACCGAGCAAAAGCGATCGATCGTAATCAAGAGGACCGTGTACTGTGACACCAGACAGACGGTGTAGTCTACGGATAGCCATAAGTCGCAAAGTAGAGGTCCAAGATTCCAATAGCCCATTAGAACATATACCGTATAGAATGGCATTGAGACTGTACCTGTGTAACAACGAAGATATAGTAGGTTCGATCAGTTCTATTGTGTTTGTGTATGATGAAACAATCGTTCTTCGGAACATCTATAACGTCCGACCCACATCGTTTACTACTACTACTTCTACTATCACTATGACTAACCTGTCATATCAACGTAGGTATGATATTAAACGAGAGAAAAAAAGTGAAATAAAAACAGACAGTGTGCTTCTCGAGATATCATTTTTACTTTCATCCATTTTTATGAGTTTTAAGAATGCCAAGAAATTATTTTACGAAAAATTAGATTCCATATATGAGGGTCTTACCGATGAGCATGTCAGTGGCAGCTAACGATGCAATGAAATAGTTGCTCGGCTGTCTGATGGCTCTGTCGACGATAAATGCCAATAATACAAGAATATTACCACCCACTGTCAATAGTATACATATCGCAAGGCATATAGCTATCAGGACCGTTTGCCAGAGTTCGAAGGGTGGTAAAACAGGTGCTATATCTGTTTGATAAAGAAATGATATATTGTTTTATTAATTAATAATGAAAACATTTTTAACAAATGTATTTACTTCCGGAAAAATAAAAAAGATAAAATAGAAAGAGAGATTTATTTCACTTGAAATTAATTGGAAATGTACGATTCAAAGAATTGTTTAATCTCAGTTACATTACCCAGTGACATTGGGGTTGTTATATTTCCTGGAATCGAGATATTGGTTGCATTCGTTGGAAACCATTCCGGCAAAAGTTCCCCGTATTCACCGCTACTCCAGCGTGGATCATCGGGATCAGGCCAAGTTCCATTCAACTGAGTACATTCCGCTGTCAAAATCTGATTGTACACATATCTGCAGAGACGCTCTCGTTGCCTTTTCAGCTTCCTGAAATAAGAGAAACAAGGAAAAAAAAAAAGAAAAGAAATGAAATGATATCGCATGATCGTTCATTTATAAAGAATATAAAGAGTGGGATCGGATAGAAATTTTGTTAATACGATCTAATACAATAAATTACGACGAGATATTTTAAGTTATGATATTTGTAAAATAGAATCGTCGTCGAATCGTCGAATATTTCTCGGGAATATATCGAAAATATAGTTACTTTCTTTCTTTCTTTTTTGCTTTCTTAGAGGTTCATGCTTGCTAACATCGAAGAAAATGTGACACCGGTATTTCCTGACTCCTGGTCGAACACCCCCATCTTCTTCCACTCCTTTTCCCCACCTTCTTCTTTTCTACCGTCTTCCCTTGTGCTCTATGAAGCGTCGTTGCAGTGGCAACACGAGAGGCAAGTCAAAGGCTGAATACACTGAGCACACAATGAGCTTGAAATAAGCATGAATGGAACCACATCTATCCCTCCCGTCACATACCGGTTCCGTCGCTGCCAGGCAAGAAACGACGACGCGCGCCTTAAAGAGGGTGAATCTTTTTGTGAACGACGATATGAGTCGACGATCCCAATTCCAGTGCCTCAAAAGATTTCACTTGGACCTCGTTTCAACCTTTTCCACCATTGAATCATTTATTATAACATTAGAGTTGCTCAAATATTATTTGTTTTATATTTATTTCATTATTTTTCAGCTAATAATATTTGTATTAATTCCAATGATGGAGTAACATTTTCGATGAATTTTATTTTTAAACATTTAGTTGTTGTACGAGAATTAAGATAAATTTTTTTAATAATCTATTTCCTTTTCGATTATCTGTTAGCTTGAAATTTAATGGGTAATTTATATCGATGTATTTACATTATTTTTGACAATTTTTACTTTTTCATGGTTTGTCTTTGACTTTCATACTTATGCTTTCGGGAATTAATGAACGTCATTGTAATGCTATTACAATAATGGAAGAGAGACTATTATCGTAGCGAGCTACCGGGGCAGATAAGGAAGTGGAGCGTATAAAAAGCCGGGAAAGTAGAGAATATCCATTGTTTCAATCTTCTAGACTCCGGAGACTAAACCCGGGGAATCCGTATAAAAATAGTTGGAGAGACACAACAGTTCCTTTTTTTTTTCTTCTTTTTTACTCATTAGATTTAAGTTGAAAATAAGTCTGATAACGTCGTATTAAGCTTTCTATTGATATCGTAATCAGTCAAGAAGAGTTATGCATTTGCCATATATTTTCTCATCATTTTTTTGAATAACATAAATAGAACGATGATTTATAGATAATTTGAAAATAAGAAAATATATTTTTGTTTTAATGAAACAATCTTTTCGAAAAATTCTAGCATAATATAATTCGCAATTATCCATTCCACGTTATTGATAGGGGTTCTGCTTTGCCAGCTTTAACATGAAAGGATCCCAAAGAGATAACTGGATTTAGCATCTATAATTGTCTCAATAAGCAACATCTTTAATTATCCTTCGTTTATGAGGAGGTACCGAGGTATAGGACTTTTCTCGTAATATTTCATTTCACTTTCAATAATGTTCTCAAGGACTGAAGGATGAATCGAACGGTCGAAGGAGCGGCTAGTCGTTCAATGATGAAGAGAAATGAGTATATCCACTTTTCGAATTACTATTTACCTCGTCGTAAGAGGCGAACCTTAGATTAGACTGGTTTTCGAATGAGAAAGTTCAAATGGCCGCACGTCTGAGCGCGTAATCGAGTAGAATCGCAAAACGAAAACTCATGGAAAGCCAATGTTAAAGGGAATGATGAGGAGTTGAAAAAGAGGGTCCTCGATGGGCTTTTATGATTCTAAACCCTTATCCGGAAGAATAGAAAAAGCCTTTTATCTAATGAGTTGTAATACCCATACTGTCAAGATCGTTTGTTTGTAATTCGATTTCGTGGATTCTGCGTGCGAGGAGAACAGACGGAAAATTGTGAATATGTGCATAGAAGAATTGAGTCATTTTCAGAAATAAAAGACAAAAATCCGGACAAGATAATGCAGTGAGATAATTAAAAAGAAGTATTGGATGTATTTACTTTACAGAATTCTAAAAAATTTTTATCGGATACGTTGATACCGATGATAATATCTTATCCTTATAATAAGATTCGAAAAATTCGCTCGGAGCATTTTTATATCGTGCATGTAATATATATCCTATATATATAGAATATATACTATATATATACGCTATATATATATATATATTTTATCCTATATATATATATATATATATATATATATATATATATATATATATATATATATAGGATAAAAGAGAATGAAAAGGAGAAAACGAATGTTCTCTTCAAACGAGTGAATTTCACGAATTTTAGTTGAATACCGTGCGATGTAAAGAGATTAGAATTCAACAAGGAGTAGCCTGAAAGAGTAGAGATAGAAAAGGGAAAGACAAGGAGAGACGAACATGAAGGCAATGCCGAGTGGGGAATATGAAAAAATGAACTTGACTGAAGGAGTATCTTTACAATACTACGTAAGTTTTCATGAATCTGCTTGGGAAAAAAGAGTGTATAGACGGTCCACTTGTAATTAAAGAATTGTATATAATAATATATATATATATATATACAAACATACGTACCATACATATGTATAAATATAAATATAAATATAAATATAAATATATATATATATATATATATATATATATATGTGTATGTATCTGTATTCGTTAATTTTCAGAATTGTTACTTCTTGCATTAATGCATTATTTATCGTGTATTAGCTCCACGATTACATGCATAGCTTGTTCTGTTTGCTTCACAGATAAATTTAATTGGTCTAACGAATATATCGGTTTATCGAGTACGAGCAACAAACATGATGGACGCATGAATCAGTGTTTATCGACGAATATGGAAATGTTATATCACCTCTTGCTCGATTTATTTCGGTGAGATTTCGAGATTTAGACTTTAAACGGAGCAGTATTAAAACTTAATCTTTTCTGCTGTTACAGTCGTGGAAATATTCTACTAGGAGAAAAGCAATCGTAATGTGGCTCCTTTCTACCAACACCGAAGAGGTACATCATCGTTATAATGAGACTCACCGGTGGTAACCTGTGGGTAGAACATCTATCTTTCTGGTGTATGTGTGCCAAGAGGGTGGCAAAAGGGAGCGGCTATATAAGTCCGTCGAGCAGAGGATCATCGCCGTGGAATGGCATGATCATACGGACGGATGAAGAGGGAGTGAAAAAAGGGTGGTGGTCGGAAAAGAGAGAGAGAGAGAGAAAAAGAAAGAGAGAGAGAGAGAGAAAGAGAGAGAGAGAGAGAAAGAGAGAAAGAGAGAGAGAGAGATGAACGAGAGAACTGAAACGAACCGGTGGAGTAAAATTACAAGAAAGAGAGAGAGAGAGAGAGAAAGAGGAGTAACGACGACATAGTGAAAAAGTAAGAGAGAGAGAAAGAGAGAGAGAAGAGAGGCAACAAGTACCTATGTAACCAGTATCGTTTCGACGCACGATGAATACTGGGTAGTCGTGGATTCAGCTCGTTTCTTTCCATCTTCTTTCTAGTATCATTATGTTAGACTCCACAGAGACAGTTCTCATGTCGTCTAATGTAAATATTTAAATCTTTGTATTTTTAGGTCATCGATCTGTCATCGATTAATCATTTGTAATTGATATTCGAATTCTAACGATTTTTTATCTTCATCGATCCGTACCGACAAAAGCAGATGTTCGACTAATAACAAGAAATAGAGAGAAAGAGAGAGAGAGAGAGAGAAAGAGAGAGAGAGAAAGAGAGAGAGAGAGGGAGGGTTTGAATTGTTCGATTGAAAAAACTCTGAACGAGCATATAGGCAATCATCGAACGGGATACGTATAGAAAGGTAGTTTTGATAGGAACGTCCGAAAGTATGATTGATGTCCCTATGAAATCTCTTATCGCATCATTGACGAAAGAGCTGATGAATCTTTTCTCTCGTAGCTATCATTAATTCTTTATTGTTTATTTGTCGAGTTGTTATTTTCACATTTATCAATGTTTCACATTGGAAATTGATATTTCTCGGGTAAATCGAGCGAACACGATCTTTAGCTTATTATCTAGTTTATCTATTTTCTTTTCGAATATCGTACATCTAATAAATAGTACGTAGAAGAATAGGATAACCGTTGATAGTACGATCGAGTACTCCATTTTTAAAGTTTTTTCGAGAGCCCTCGAGGGTAATCTTATTTTTATTTTCTGGTTACCTCTTACTCGATAGAACCTTTCAGGAGACTTTTATGCATGTGAAATACGTAACCCATAGCTCCAGGCCGGTATCGGAACCACCTGCTTTTTCTCCACGTTGCATCTTTCAGTGACATCGTTTCCTTAAATTTTCAGATATATTCCTTCAACGAAATAGGCCGTTGTCGGTGGAAAGAATTTTATCAAGAAGTTCAAAATTATGTGAATACATATATATAAAACATATACAAAGATATATATATATATATATCTTTCCAGGTATATAGAGCGTGAAACTATCAACAGGCAGAATTATTTTTTACGTTGACCTTTCTTTACTTTTATTGTCGACTGATATTTGTGAGGAGTCAAACGATCACGAAGTTGATAATTTCGATGGGATTGTAGTATCTATTTCATCTAACCGAGATCTGCATCTCGTACACAGTAATGCAGTTACATTCGATGAAACTTTCTCGGACTGTACAAGTTTGCGTTTCAGAACGCTCTATTGTAACCCAATAATGTCCCGCGTATTTTTCTACTCTCGGTATAGAGAGAAACGTAGAAAAAAACGTAGAGGAAAACATAGAGTAAGTTTTCTCGTTGCAGTTATGAATGTTGTACTAATTTGCTCGGTAGACGATATCACCGAGTTATATTTAAATGAAACTTTTGTCCGTGCTTTTAAATGGCGTTTGTTTTCGAATGTGCAAAGTATCGATTTGATTTAACGTTTTATA